TTCTTGCAGGGCTGGCTTAGTGGTCACATATTCTTTCAGTTTCTGCCGGTCATGGAAGCTCTGCATCTCTCCATCCATTCTAAATGACAGTCTTGCTGGAGAAAGTATTCTTGGCTGCATGTTCTTCTCATTTAGTACCTTGAATATGTCTTGCCAGGCCTTTCTGGCTTGCCACATCTCTTTGGAAAGGTTTGACATTATTCTGATGTTCCTTCCTCTGTACATAAGGAATCTCTTCCCCCTAACTGCCCTTAAGATGGTTTCCTTGATTCTAAGATTTACAAGTTTTACTATTACATGCTGGCGCGTTGGCCTGTTTTCCTTGATCTTGGGAGGGATCCTCTCTGCTTCTAGGACACGAATGCTTGTTTCATTCCCCAGATTAAGGAAGTTGTCAGCTACAATTTGTTCAAATATATTTTCTAGTCCTCTCTCTCTCCACTCCTCTCAGGGATCGCAATAATTCTGACGTTGGAACGTTTCATGTTGTCACTTACTTCTCTGATTCTATTTTCATGGATTTTGAGTTGTTTTTCCCTGGCCTCCTCTTTTTCCTTCTTATCTAGTAATTAGTCTTCTAGATTACTAATTTGTTCTTCTGCCTCACTTACTCTAGCTGTTAGATTATCTAGATTAGATTGGATCTCATTGATAGCGTTTTTAAGTTCTGCCAATTCAGCTTTCATTTCTGCCCTTAGAGCTCTATGTTGCCATTAATCAATTTCTCCATTTTAGCTATTGTCTTCACCATTGGTACCCTGAATTCCATTTCCGACATCTTGGTTTTATCTGTATCCATTTGTAAATCTGTGGCAGAAGTCACAGTCTCTGAGTCTTTCCTATTTTGGCGGCTCGTCCTCCTAATCATTCTGTTGCGGGGTGGTTGAGGGAATGTACAGAGTCCAAATTATTGACCACAACCCAAGCAAGGTACACCTGTTTTCTTGGAACCTTAGGGTTGCTGGCCTCTTTGTCTCCCAGCTTGTCTTGTGGGGAAGGGGCCTCCTGTGCTGTTACTTAGGCAACCCTGTGTGGGCAGAGTTGCCCTGCCCCCTGTGGTGGGGTATGGGTTCAGTGAAAACCAGTTTTTGGGGGCTTTTGTTCTCTGGCACCTTTCCCTGGCAGATTTCTGTGTCTCTTCTGCGAGTCAGAGCATAAGGTATCGTTTCCAACCTTCTGCCTTGGAGCAGAGAGATGACAGTCTGTTCTTCAGTGAGCTCCTCAGACCACACTATCTCCATTTCTGTTTGTGCTGCTATAAACTGCAGTGTCCTCACTGTGTGCCCCTGAGCTGTGCTCCCAGTCCTTCCCTCCAGGTAGGGCATGTCTCTGCCCTTTGTGCTTCTATAACTGCCCCCAGTTCGAACTCGTGGCCCCACTGCTCCGGATTTCAGTCCAGGGGACTCCCCTAAAGTCCTTTCCCCATTGCTACTGCTCTGCGAGTCTGTGCCCTGTCTGCAGCACAGGAGGCTATTGCTCACCATCGGTGTAGGATACCCATGGCTTCCTCCCCCTGCTTGCCCTTTATCCTCCAATATTTGCCTGCAGAATCAAGGCTCCCTGCTTCGTACCTCAAAACCAAACGCCTGTGATATTTTGTTTGTAGGGATCCAGATCTATCTTCGTACATCTCAGGCTGATTTCTTCGGTGTTCAGAGTGGTCTGGTAGATTTCCAGCTCAGTTTCGGGGACTGGTTGGAATAGCGTCCCCTACTCCTCTGCCATCTTTTCCCAAAACCACTAAAAAGATTTTAAGTTACCAGCTGTTGGAATTTCATCAATTAAAATTCTCATATATTGTTGTTGATTGGAATACAAAATAGTACATTGGCTTTGGAAAATAATTTGACTGTTTCTTGTATGTTTTAAGGTACACTTGCACCTAACCCTGTAACCCATTTATTGGACCCTTATGTATTTACCCAAGATAAATGAAAATATATGTCCTAGAAAGATTTATACATGAATGTTTAGTGTTTTTCACTATTGTGAAGAAACAGCACAATGTCCATAAATAGGTGAATGAATGAATTATGGTATATTTATACAATGGAATTTACTCAGCAACAAAAACAATGAATTACAGATCGATGAATTTCTACGATATTGTGCAGACCAAAGTAATTTAGATATAAGAGTATGTTCCATATGATCCCATAGACAATAATAGTGATAATAAGTAAATTGGTTTCTATACAACATTAATTAATTACCTGACTAATTAGTCTTGTTTTAATTTACCTTATTCCCAGAAAGCTTCTGTTGTGTAACAAACACTATCCTGCTACATTCTAGAATGAGTGGGTGAAAAACATTACAGAAGAGAGATGAATATGAAGGTGGTGTAGAGATAACCCTCAAAGATAGCTTGAACACTTACGAGAACGAGGCTTGGTCGACAGGGATGCAGAAGCCTTGGGAAAGATAAAATAACGATTTTACATGGTGTAGAGTGATGCAGTAAATTTTATTTTAATTAGGAAATAAATGCCCTATACATAACAAGCATTGCTAGGTTATCTGTTGATGCTTTGGTGTCCAAAAGTTACCCAACTCATTTATCTGAAATACAGGACTCATTCCTGACACTTTTCTTAGTACAGAGGCCAAATATATGAGACTTTCTTTCGCTGAAGAGCTGCTAATTTATGCTTGTTCATATTTGTGAATGTGATTTGTTTGCATTGTCTCATTTTTTATTTGTTTGTTTAGAAGGTAAGTATAGGAATGCCTATTTTTGTGTATTTAAGAGGAGTAAATGAGAGTGCTTATGGGAAGTCCTTCATAAACTTTTTCAAGCTCTGTGCAAATGTAAAGTAGTATTATCCATCTGGCCCGAGGTCTGGAGAAGAGACGTTGTTGCAAATAATGAAAATGGGAATGAATGCAACTCCTTTCTTACCCCATGCTTTTACTTACAAAATAATATAAATGTAAAATCATAATATTTGTGGTTTCTGAAATGTTTAGATAGTTCTAAAAGAGGAGTGATTATTAACTGTACTTTGTTTGTATTAAGAAAAAACTGAAGGAATCCAGGTATTTGTGAAAGGGCAATATAATGAATATTCTTATTTAATTTCCCTGAGTGACACAGAAAGCACATGGGGGAATTCTGAGCTTGTCCTTTTCTGCTCCTGGCCAAGGAGGCCAGAGGAAAGTGATTGTTTTCCAGCCATGGAGCCAGTTTTGTGTTCTCTTTCTGATGAAATACGGAAAACAGGGTGTGCATGCTCCTCTTACATTTATGTGTACCAGATTTGATGTAGAAAATGTTACTCCAAAGTGTGGAAATTTGAGAAGGCATGGTAACCTGGTGTGCAGTCCCTACGCTTTGTAAAACCTTTCTTCTTCTTTTTTAAAAGTTTTATTTGAGAGAGTGCGAGCGAGTGGGGGGAGGGGCAGAGGGAGAGTGAGCGAGAGAGAGAGAGAGAGAGAGAGAGATTCTCAGGCAGACTCCCCGCTGAGCACTGATCCTGACACAGGGCTCAATCCCAGTACCCATGAGATCATGACCCGGGGCAAAATCATGAGTCACATGCTTAACTGGCTGAGCCACTGCTCCTCTCTTCTTCTTTCTTCTCCTTCTCCTCTTCCTCCTCCCCCTTCTCTTCCTCCTCCTTCTCCTGCTTCTCCTCCTCACCAGTGATGTGTTTAAAGGGTCAAGGATCTAAATCCTGAAAATAAGCTCTTCTGGAAATGTGATGTAGACAAGATGACAAAATTCTAGGCAGGTTAATCGGTTCCAACCAAATGTCTGAGCATGTTTTATTGTGTTTGTGCCTAACCATGTTAGCTTTTTTATTGAAAGGAATAGATGTTATTTGTTTGCATTGTCTCCCTTTCTGTTGGTCTGAGAGTAAAAACTCTCATAAGCTATGTATCTGATAGATGTGAAAGTGGAGGAGGCTGAAACTATGGAGTTAAAGAAGAAATACAAAAAGGGAAGCAAAAATAACCAGAAGTTTGAGCTTCCCTAGAAGATGTTCTAATGGGTTACTTTAGTTAGTGGGAGGAGTGCCCCTTAAACTTTAAAGGACACATGAAGTATATGAAAATGCAGTTTCTGATTCTGTTAAGTCTGCGGTTTGACCTGGGAATGTGTATTTCCATAAAGCTCCCATGTGATGATGATTCTGCTCTGAGATGCACTCAGAGTAGCAAGGCTGGAGAGTTTGGCTGTACCTTTTGGTGAAGTTCATATTTTAAAAAATTTCACTAAAGATAATTTGTCAAAAGGCTAGCTAAATGTGATTTAATTTTATACCTTCATTAGACTTTCATATAATAAAATTCAAAATTATTCACCAAAAATAAAAGCATTTGTCTGGGCATACCACCCTGAAGTTTTTCATTAATTGCCTCCTTAGTTCAGGTCCCTTGCTGAATACTATGTGAACAAGTTAAATTTGTTCTCCTGCCAGATAGTATCCTAACCCAGGCTGCCATAGGGTTAATGTGTAAAATGTCCAGGTTGTGCCTGTGTTGCCATGGAAAAGGACAGACCATCTAGCTTCTACTTTTGATACTGCCGGCTAGCTCAGGGACCTTGAGTACCACAGCTCTAAAATTCAGCTATTTTTTTTCCTTTGTAGAATGATTGTGGGTATTTTGGTGAGAGGTGAAAAAAAGCATTTAGTTAGTGCCCGTAATTGGTGCTCAATTAATGCTTAAAGAGATTCTTTAGGAGTAAAACGAAGTAGTTTTAAGTCTTACAGGCTTTGGGTAGAAGGAGTCAGAGAGGACAGGAATTGAGAGTAAAACACGTCCTATAACTTAAAAGAAGGACTTCACTAAGCTACCCTCCTTCCTCTTTAATGGTTTTAGTTGCTCAAATCTTCTACTGAAGTTCTGATCTTTTGTTTAACTTTATTAAATGCAAGTTGCTAACTACTGGGAGAACTTCCTCTTGCTTTTCTTCTATCAGCCTTGTCAGAAATGAGTAAATCAGTTAAAGGACAGCAGACTTGACCATTTCTTCTGTTTCTCTTACTTTGCAGATTATTCTTCAGCTGTTCAGAAGTTTTCTCAGACACTTCAGTCCTTTCAGTTTGATTTTATTGGAGACACTCTGACTGATGATGAGATTAACATTGGTAAGTCTTCAGCTACATGTGGCCTTGTGCCTCTTGAGGCAGTTCTGAGACTCCTAGGTTTTTGGATACAGGGAACCTGGGCATCTTCATCCTCTGTGGTCTAGTGTCAAGCTCATGGGAGGCTGCTTAAGAAGGGTAAAGAAACATTGTCTCCCAGTCCCCTTCTCCTCTCAAACAAAAGCAATAAAAAGATAGCCCTTAAGCCTCCACTGAGGCCTTTGACTCAGTCAATCTGCAGGGGACTTTTTCTTTAAAGAATCTAATACATGAAAATAGATATTTTTGTAAAATATAAATTAAAGAGTGATTTTTTTAAAAAAATTCTAAAATGATTTAGAATAACAGTCCTCCAAGGAATAAACTCCTCTAGAATGTTTAAAAGTAACATTTATATATGTCCAGCTTTTCAGACAACAGGACATTTGACATCTCTCTTGGGAACTGAATTTAACAACTCACTCTATGAGCTGTGTGATCTTGGACAGATACTTCCTTTTTCTGAGCCCCTTAGTCTTATCATCTATAAAATGTGTTTAATATTAATATCAAGAATGTTACCGGGAAGAGATTGAATAGTGGACGTTAAAGAACTTTGTGTTAGTTGGTATGAAGTTAAAGTAGTGTCAGCAAACTATGGCCCTTGGGCCAAATCTTGCCTGCCCCCTTCTTTTGGTAAATAAAGTTTTATTGGAACACAGCCACATATATTCATTTAAATATGGTCTAAGGGAAAAAAATATTGTCTAAGGGTACTTTTGTGGTAGGACAACAACATTGAGTAGAAGTGGCAGAGACTGGATGGCTTTCAGAGCCTAAAATATTTGCTCTGGTCATCTAAGAAGTTTGGTAACCAGTGAGCTAAAGAATTAGTGTAAAGCATTTGCTAGACAAGAACACTGGATCACAGGACTATCGTGAATGATTTAATGTCACTGAAACAAGTTACTTAAAAGGTTGTATTTATGAACCCCAGCATTAAAATATGAAAATGTATTATTATTATTTAATGGTCATTGTAAATATGAATAATATATAAAAATATAAAATTACCTATGATAGTAAGATATTCCATCACAGAAACAACATATTAGATGGTATTGGCATGTTATATTTTAGCTCTTTTTTGTACATGTATTTCTTATGTGTATGCAATTTAGTTCATGCTAAATATGTAATTTTATCTTTTTAACCTAACAGTTTATCTTAATCAGCTTCTGATATCATTTAAAATTCTTTGTAAATTTCATGGGGGAGCAAGGACATTGTTTTTATTCACTGCTATTTCCCCAGCATGTAGAGGGTGCCTAGCATATAGTAGATACTCAGCACATGTTTGTTGAGTAAATAAATAATGGATGAATTCAGATCTCTTTATTATAGGAGCCATAGTTTATATGATATTCAACTATTTAGCTTATTTCCAATTTTTCACTATTATAAATAATACTGCAATGAGTACTTTCATGAGACTAAGATTGATGACTGTTTTGGTAAATGTGGTAGTGTAACTAATGAGGCACACATTTGCATTTAGATTATTTATTCACTTTATTTTAATTTTGCAGATCTATTTTTGACTAAGGGCATGACTTATTTAAAAGTTAATATCATGAGCTCTAGAGTCAGATAGCCCAAATTTGAACTCTAGCTTTGGAATTTATTATCTGTGTAATCTGGGGAGGTGACTTTCCCTTTTTTGAATGTTAATTTTTCTCATCTTTGAAATAGGGTTGAGATGATCAATGCCAAGTATGCACAGTGCCTAAATATATGTTAACTGTTTAATCATTGTTAATATAAGACTTGATTTCTTTGTACTCTGCAATGGACTGAGTGTTTCTGTGTCCTTCCCAAAATTCATATGTTGAAATTCTAACCCCTGATATGATGGTATCAAGAGCTGGAGTCTTTGGGAGGTGATTAGGTCATGAAAGTGGAACCCCTCATTGATGGGATTAGTGCCCTCCTAAAAGAGACACCAGAGGACTCTTTTACCCTCCTTCCATCACGTGAGGATACACAAGAAGTTGTCAGTCTACAACCTCGAAGAGCGCTCTCACCAGAACCTAACTATGCTGATACCCTGATCTCAGACTTCCAGCCTCCAGAACTGTGAGAAATAAATTTCTGTGGTTTATAAACCACTCAGTCTATAGTATTTTGTTATAGCATCCTAAACCTGATAAGACAGAAAGAAATTGGTACTGGGAAGTCAGGGTGTTCTGTACCAAATACCTAAAAATGTGGAAGTAGCTTTGGAACTGAGTAATGGGAAGAAGCTGCAAAAGTTTGGAGGTGCATGCTAAGAAAAGTCTAGATTGTCATGAATGGCATTTTAAAGGCAATTGTGGTGAGAGCTCAGAAAGAAAAAAGGCAAGCCATAGAGAAAGTTTCCATGAAGAACATGTTATTAGACAATAGAGAAAAGCAATCCTTGTTATAAAGTAGGCAAAGAACTTGGCTGAATTGTGTTTGCATTCTAGTGTTCTGTGGAAGATGGTGTTTTCTGACTGAAAAAATTGAATATTTGGCTGAGGAAATTTCTAAGCAAAGTGTTAAAAGAATGGCTTGGTTCCCCCTGTTTCTACCAAAAGCTGAGAGGAGAAAAATGAATTGAAGATGGAATTATTAAACAAAATGGAACCAGAACTTCAAGATTTGGAGACTTCTCTGCCTGTCCACATTACAAAAAATGACAGTGTGTTTGGAAGAGAACACCAAGGGTGTGGTGGACTGACCATTGCATAAGGAGATCAATGTGGGTGTTAACCATGGAACAGAAGCCAGGAATAGAGATGGAATTATATGAGCAGAAACACTACCAGCTGGGACTATAGGAAACAAAAATGGGACAAAATGAAGGAAGACTGACTTCTTAGACCCTATTAGACCAGACCATATAGCTATTTGGCTATGAACATGCACTATTTTTCAAAGACAAGAGAAGAAGGACTCTGAAGCCAATCCTGAGATCATCAGGGCTGCCACTTCCATCACATGCGTATAGAGTGCAGAGGCCCTAGGGCCTCCCCCTAGATTTGAAAGGGTGAGACCAATGCCCAAGGAGCTGTAAGGGGTGGGCCCTCTGAGGGTACAACACCCATCTTACCGTAAATGTCAACAAGTGCCGTTTAGGAAAAAGGTGTGTGAGTTTGAGCATGATGGCTTATAAACAAAAATAAAAATGGTGCCCCCCCCCCCCCGCTATTGATGCCAGGTTCTTGTGGGTGTTTGTGAGCTCCATTTAAGTTGCTAGCTGTGACACCGCTTCTTAATGTATGCTTTACAACAACACTTTAACTCAGTTGCCATTTGCCTACCATCTCCAGAAACTCACAGTTACCATCTGATCATTGCCTTTAGGGATGATGACTCATGGAATTGACTTTTCTTGATGGGGACTGAGAAAAGATTTTGAGATTTTAATTGGCCTGTCATAGTCATTGTCCTTGTTGAATGTGTCATTTTGAGAACTGGGATTGGTGGTGGTAGTGAGAAGAACAACCAGTGCTCCAGCAGTTTAAGGTAAGGCTCTTTGGAGGCTTTGAGAGGAAATATTAGACACCCTACTGGGAGGGCATTGTTGGGAAACAGTTGCTTTGGAAGCTGAGACAGGAGAGTGTGCCATACCCTCCAATTGCCAACACTACTGGCCCAGAGTAGGTAGATCTTCTGTTTAACTAGAAAAATTGGTAAAAGTACAGTTATGATAGAATTTTGGGTTGAGATTTAGATTTCACATTATATGTGAAGAGAGCCTTGCAGTTCTTTTCATAATGCATTTTTCATGATGGCTGCAAAATGTGACTCAGTACCATTAACCCCCTTGTAGATACCAGTTGTCTAACAGAGATGGTAGTGATTCCTAGAGGATGTGAGTCAAAACCTGAGGCTTCTTTGGAGAGTCCCTTCCCTTGATCATCAGCGCTAGTAACTAACTTGAGTAGTCTGTGTCTAACAGGGACAAGTGGGAGAAAGTGTCTCACTGCCCTGATGATGACATTTGGCCCTGCTCTAGAGCAAGACATCTATGCCTTCAATTGGCATTGCCTGGCTTTTTCTCTACCTCTGTAGCTCAGTAACCAAAGGAAATCTCAGGAGTTTGGGTAGTTTTGTGTATACTTCAGATTTATTAGCTATGGGATCTTAGCAACATTACCTAAGCTTTTTGGGCCTCTGTTTTCCTCATCTGTAAAGCAGGAAGTATAATCTATTTTCATAAGACTGTGAGGAGTAAATCAGATAAATACATATACCAGAGAGTATATGTAAATGATTAGGCTCAGTGTCTGACTTGTGATTGGTGCTCAGTATTTCATAGTTGTTACCAGAAAGGTGGTAGAACCTAAGTTTTGGAAAATTTCAGTTTGAAATTATACTTTTTGAATAACTGCAAAAGAAAATGTAAAATAAACCGTTAATATTCTAGGAACCTTAGAGAGTATCTAGCTTAGTTATTCCTAATATATGTCACAGTGACCTGAAGCTCTTATTGATCCAGAGTCTCAGGACCTCTCTTAGATCAAATGAATCAGAATCTCTGTAGTGGAGCCCAGCGCCCTGATTTCTACACAGTCATCATAAAATGATGAGCATTTTGGAACCCCGTGTCAGTTTTCAGGGTTTTTCAAACTGTTCCTTGGATCCTCAATTTCTCCTATCCACCAATGCTCAAATGAAGCATGTAAGAATTTACTTGAAAAATTGAATTTCCAGATTAAAAAATAAGCTGATACTTACACAGTGCTTACCAAGTACCAGGTCTTGTTTTAAGCACTTTACATAAACTGATGAGAGAGAAGCAGAGAGACAGTGACAGAGAGAGGCGTGTGCACACACGCGCGTGCACACACACACAGAGCAAGAGAGGGAGGGAGGGAAGGAGAAGATGAGAATATACTAAGCTAGTTTACCAACCTCCCCGCCACCACTCCTGCCAATTCTACAGATAGGGAAACTGATGTCCAGAGTTGGGCTAGTGATTTTTGAAGGTAGTGCCA